TGAACTACTATTTCATGAATTTATGTCAATAACTTTGGTATCAAAATATAGATTATAATTCAAATTTGAGTTCTGTCTGGAAAGAGATAATGGTTCAAACCAATTGTCTTTGAACCACTTTATTTACAACTTTCTTTTCACAGCTGAGACAGAGGTTTGCAGGCAGGACAGTGGTTACAAAAATTAATTTCTCACAACTCCCTTCACATGGATCTTGTTGAAATGAAGGTTATTGTGAAAAGCTTTCTTTATTATTTCATAACTTATTTTGGATTATGAAATTGCGGTACATTAGGAAAAGAAGTATTTTTCTGGAACAAGGTTAGGTTGAGGATTATTAGAGGTAGTTAGATCATTTTGCACTTGACTGTAAGAAGTTTTGTTTAACTAACATGTCCAATTTGTATTAGGCTGTATTTACATCTGTCAAGTTCTGCAACATTGAAAACCTATCGTTATTCTCTTCACAATCCTTTTTAATCACATTTGTCCCTGTTTTGGAGCAGTTTCTTCCATCTACAGTTTTTCTCTTCTTGCAAATTTTATTGAGATTTATGCCACAACTTGTGATCTCACAAAATGGTCATTTGTTTTTTTCCCAGTAACTTTCATTCTTTTTGCTTCGAAACTCAAGGTGTTTGGGTCTCAACAATGATATATCTTTCTTTTTTTTTTAAATTGGAAACATCCTTAACTTTTCTCATTTTGAAGAAGACTGAGGCACTCACAAACCAACTTAAGCTGATTATATTGATGCGTTGTCAAATTTCTTTACCTTTACTTCTCAAACGATAGGAAAGTTGGAAAGACAAATAATGAGGTGTCTAAAATTTTAGTCATGCAGTATACAGGTTTCTATTGTAGAATGACAAAAAACAAAACAAAAGAACATCCTTTATGTCTGTGTTTAACATGTGTAGAAATCAATATTTTGTCAAAATAGCATTGAAATATTTGTCAAATTTCAGTGTTTTGCTTCTAAATCAAAATATTTTCCATTTAAAATAAGTTGTTAGTAATCACAAGCTTATTGAAAAATCTTTATCACCAAGGTTTCATTGGTTAAGCTGCCTTTTGACATGCATTGGAACCATGTATTAGATTATAACAGAGAACCAGACATCAACAAGAAACCTTTTATTAAATCTTAAATCTCCAGTTGTGACTTCTTTGTTTCATGTTGTGTATATATCTTTCTTTGTCTAGGTAAACTACTTGTACCTGATGATTACAAAGCCTTCTCCAAACATTATGCATTTCTTACTGTGTTAAATGTTTTCTTTGTTACTCATTCAACCTGTCTATAAAATGTGCAAGCTTACTTTATCCCAAGTTATTTTACCTCTTCTCATTAAACAAGATTTTGGTAGCTTTTAAACACAGATACTTTCATAGTTTGCAAAGAAAAACTGAAAGGACAAAAGCTATAGAAAATTGAATCTAATAATTATTCTGCTATTACGTGATAGTCTAATTCTTGCTTTTTCCATAGTATCCAATCATATTTAAACTTTCTTAATAGCTGTCTTTTATTACTGAATGACCAAACCACTTGATGAGGTAACATAACATTTCAACCAAAGTTTAAGGCCTGTATAAAAACTAAAGAAACCACTTGAAAATCCAAAAATGGATAAGATAATCTCAAGGGATGATAAGCAAAAATAAAATTTCTTTGAGATGGGCAGAAACCTTCTGAAGAAAATTGACAAGTAGGTTATTTTGTTTTCAGGCAAAACTACTGGCAGTTATGTAGAATTGAATTTTTTTTTCTTTGTGAATTATACTGAATAAAGGTAAGAAAATGACAAAATCTTGGTTCTAAAATATTTGTGGGTTAAGTTTATTGAAATATATTTGAAATGAGCAAATAAAATTAACTTTATAATTTGTCTCAAAAATTTTATCATGTGACAAAGTATCAAAAGCCAGAGGAAACCCTGTTTTCAGACATCAGACACAATAATTTAGAATTAAGTTTTTTATCTTAAACTTCATACATGCCAAGCAACTGCATTGTTTAAAATTTAGAAACAATGAAATATTTATTCACTTATCAGTAACCTTTTGCAACAATACTGTGTAATATATACACATTTCCAGAATTTTTATTCCAGAAAATTTGATATAGTTTTACATATTTGTAAGGATGTTCGTGACAGTTTTGAGGTCTTAAGTGTTGTATCTAGTATTACTAACATAATACATGTACAAAGTAACACAATGTAGAAAAATAATGTTTGTAGTTTATTTAAAATTACAGAAACTAAGAAATATAACACATTATACAATAGAAAGTAGAAACATAAATATTATGATACTTAAATCCTCACTTAACAAAATAACAATTTAACATTAGTTTGTTAAAGGTTTTAATGAGTAGTTCTGATAAAAAGTAGAAAATGTTAAATATTGCAGCTAAGGATCCATTGAGGTTTGTCTGCTATACAGAATATAATTTGCACAACTAAATCTTTCTGTAGGGGGAGCTGATTGCTGGGATTGCCATATACTTAACTGCAAGTCTACAAAGTTGTGGGTAGAACTGGGCCTTATTTGCCCAGAATCTCAATGGGTTGCTTTGTAGATGTAGAGAGTGGATGGACATGTACCTATTGGACAAAGATTGAAGAGTCATTAGATAAACAAACATTTATGCTGTGGGGATGTCTAATGGTGAGTGGGGTTGGGTAATAACCAACCCGTGACATGCCCCTTGGTCCAATGTATCATCCTATGAAGTTTGGCTGAGATTGGTCCAAAGACCACTAAGAAGTTCGTGGACAAACAAACAGACAAGCATTTTTTTTTACTTTTATAAGTATAGATAAGCCAGTGATATGTGTACAGAATTGTAAACATTTGCTAAGATGTTAAGACAGTCTGAGTGTGTTTTAAACACAGTACTCAGAGTGCCTGTTTATGCATTATATGTCATATAACTGTAATGAA